GGGGGGGGGGGGAATTGTAGAAAAAGGCCTTTCCTTTGACAGGTGCTTCTTCCTCCTACCCCGCGAGTAAGAAAAGCCTGATACTCAGGCTATTCTGTTAATGTCTCAGAAAAGAATCGTGACAGCAAGGCCAGATGACTTGCTCCACTGTTGTTCTGCTTTAGAGATACGTTTGCTCGTATAACAAGAAAAATGGTTGGTTTCATCATCAAATTCAAACAGTAGAGTGGTTTGACATAATATTTTGTAACCGGCCGATCATAAAAACTTTACATAAAATGGTGATTAGTGCGCCCTGCCCTCGTAGTTGGACAAATATTGATGGGATAGATTTTTTGATGTAATATATCAAACAGGAAAGACCGTGTTTGACTACATTTTCAAACACCGAGAAGAGAGTTGAAAATACGACGCGCAGCGGAGTATTTTTGACGAAATTCGAGATGTTTGGAATTGTGGGGCCAAACACTGTCCTGAGTGTTTGATATATCTTCTCTTCTCAATCGGAACTAAAACTAAGGAGAAAACGGTGACATAAAATCGTCAAAATCTATGCTAATTAAGATCAGGTATCCAAACACCGTCACGGTCATGATTCCTTTGTTTAGACGTGATGAATTATTAATCAGTTTGAGAATAGCCTTTTCCCCCTCATTTGTTAGTTTTATACAATTTGCATGGTCACCTCGAGCAATTTATTGATGTACGTATCTTTTGCAGGAGTGTTCTTGTCTTGCGATGAATGATGATGACGATGATGGTGACGACCATGATAACCTTGATCCCGATGCTTGGCCCGGCTTGACTTTCTTTGAGCCTGCAGACAGTCTACGATGGTTATTCCGGTGAAGATGTTAATCCCCGAGCTTGGCTTCGCTTTCTTGAGCTTGCAGACAGTCTGCGATGCTAGCTACGACGTCGTGTAACGAGGAAGCGCGCGCGAATTTCCTTCTTCTCGTTCTACTGACAAGCACGGCAGCGTGGAGTGCATCTTCTTTAATCCCAGCAAACCGCGCCGTGTCCTGGAGGCTGTCTTGACATTGCCCTTGACAGGAGAATTTTTCCACGTGATTTTTTTAATGAACCAAGTTAGTTTCAATAGTAATATTAAAAGATATCAAGACTAATTGGAAGCTTAACAAATGGACTTCATTTTGCCGTGCGTCTGTTCAGTTCTAAATGCACAGATGCCGTAGAAACATGGTCAGAACAAAACAGTTGACTGTCAGACAAAGTACTGTAAAGTGGATAGATATAGCAAAGACAAGGTGGCGTACCAGCGAGGGCTGAGTACAAAGTCTACAAGCGCGAAACTTACAAAAACCTGCCGTGACCTTATTGGGAGAACATTAGCACGAGCACCGGAAGTTGAAATCAAGTCGTGCCCAGTCTATTCCGTGCGTTCTCGCGTGTTAGTTTCATTCAACTGAACGGACCAAGGAAAAAATGGAATCTACTTGTGTTATAATAATAATGATAATGATAATGATAAAGATGATGATAATGATAATACGCACGACACAATAAACTTCGGAATAAGTGCAAGAACTTGAAAACGTTAGGAACACAATGAAAATGTATTCAAAAAAATCATTGCCTAAAGTTGTTCTACGAAGAATTATGTCTGCTGCCCTTTAGTGAATTTTCACTTCATACTATTCAAGAAATTTTAATTTTATAATCAACTGGTAATATTTGATCGCTAGGTAGAATTGTTTATTTTCAGCAATGAATATTTTAGATTAATTAGGGTCTAGGGATACTTTGTAAATACTAGTTAAGGCCTAATTCATTACAGAGTATCCGTGTAACTTGAACCTAATCATAAGCTTGGACATGTTTTGTACAGATTCACAACAATGTTTGCATTATTTTAGTGTGTGACTGGAGAAGACGCCTCAAAATCAGGCTAGAATTTTAGCAGATTTCATAAAGCATGTAAGAACTAATGTAAAATAGATGTTCAAATTAGGAGTTTAGAGCTCAAGCCTCCAACTTTTTACAAAAAGAATAATTGATTTTGTGTATCACATCATTGTAGAAGAATTTTTTCCTCAGTACTATACAAGATTCTATGAAAATAGTCATGTAAGTTTAGCGTATATGAAAGGACTATCAGTGTCGCGCTTTTATAATACCACATTCGATATTGTGCAAAGAAACGTTTTTTAAAGGAAAATACAGGAACGCGTGAACCGTCGTGGTTAATAAAGTATTTGGCCAGTGCTGAGTAATTTGCCTATTAAAAAAGTAGCGCTAGCATAAAGATTTAGATTGCTTTTTTTTTGTGAAAAACTGACAGAATGCTGAGGATCTGTCACGGTGGATTCTTTGGGTTTAAATGGAGTGCTTGTTTTTCTTGTAATCTATCACTGTATTGTAAGATATGTAACTCTTTGATGATAAAGTCTGTTTTGTAGTTTTATTGTGCAAGTGACGAGAATACTTTAAAATGAAAGACGATGAAGTCTGAGTCAACTTAATTGTCTCAGGAAGACTTTTGTTGTGATCCAGGCAAAATAAACATAATGTTGGTTGTCAGTTTACCGTTGTCTAACTTTACTTGGTGTGCCTGTGGTATGAAAGTCAAATGTCGATGATTGACACTGAAGTAATTTAATTTGCAAGAGTGATTACTCTAATGTTCATTGTTAAGAAGAAATAAAATAAAATAAGTTATCAGCTGGTAGATCTTACTGATATTCTTCTAATTTCTCCCAACCATCACATTATTAATGTGTGGATTACAATCAATAAGAATTGCTTTATTGATCTTGGCAGTGAAAGGTTTGAGGCGAGAATTCAATAGTGTTCAGATTCTTCATGACTGCCGGGTTCTCTGGCAATAAAAGAATAACAACCTGGAACATTTCTTTGTCCCGTGCTCGTGACCACTGAATTCACCCACATGTATCTTTTAGAAACCTGAGTTTTTTAAAGGAAGGTTATTACTGTTCAGAATCAACAAAGAAGTGAAACTGGAGCTACATGTAACTGTTTTGACCATGCCCAGAAAGCTTGGTGAGTTCTGCGAGAATGACCCATCGAAACGCGCACTCTTATAGCGACTCCCGCTCACCCGAAGTAATAGCTATCTAGTGGAGGCTGCGTTATTCTTTGCAGAAAACTATTAAATGTTACACAAGAACGAGACCTCAAGATGATGCAGCTTCTCGTAAATTGTTATGCCTCGCTCCCCTTCCCCCTTATTTTTTGAATCATTCCGATTGGTACTAATTTGGGTGCCACTGAGGCTTAGAGAAATATCAAGAGAGTGCCAAGATGGTTGAATGATTAAATTCACGGGAACATGAAAGAAATTTTACAAAGGGACTTTACATGGTCTAAATTCAAATCTTTGCTCATTCAAGACCTCTGGTGGGTTATTATTGAAAATTACTTATTTTGTTTTCTCGATTTTTGACACTGGAGAAAGAAGGCAAGTCCTTCTATATAAACTAATGGAAAATTCTTTCTTTTACAGTAAAATTATAGATCATAGAACCAATAAAAATATTGCTGATGACAACTGTTTAGAAATTACGTTCAATTTGTTTGTAATACAATGGGTATCTGTGTGCAAGTTCAGTTTTCATATTTTGCCTCGAACAAGGTTTCGCCTCACACCCGTTACGGGATGGAGTGCCCTCCATACATCTCGAAACCCAGTGTTTGACATCTTACAGTGTAATAAGCATGTTACGAACGAAGTTCATTTATCTCGGAGTGCACTGTATGTACATTACTCCACAGTTCACAAGTCCTTACTGTGCCATTCCAGATTGTACGCGCTAGGGCTTCTGGGACATTCTTGGGCCTGTCTCAGATCGCCAGTTGTCAGTCACTGTTTGCATTCTGTCGCCTCAATGCGGAGGTAATTTCTGTTTGGTGAAATTCTGGAAAAGTGAAGTTATTTTTACAGCGAGGTTAGCTCAGAAACAAGCATTTTTACTCCTTGTAGCAGCAGGAATACGTTTTGATCTGTTAACTTCAGTAAGATGACTTCCGGTTTCGAATTCCTCAGTTGTTTATTTGATGGTTTCGACAAAGCTTCCGTATTAATTAATATTGTTGTCATCTTACAGGACTCTATCCGTAAAATTTACAATGAAGGAGTAATTTTTCCTCGATTGATACGCATTTCAGGTGAGCATCGCAGAAACCGTACGACTTACAAGTTTATAAATCAAGCTCCGAGGCTGCACCCCCCTGGCAGCCCTTCCCTTGATCCGTTTATGCGTCCGAGTTATTGCTGAATCAAGGATTATTCAGTCTCTTGATAGTCCGTTG